TTCCTTCCGCCTTCATATTGGGTGTGTGTGTGGCCCTTAAGCGCCATATGTGCTTCTGAGGGCCGCTTGCTATACTTGCTGCGGAATGTCTGATTTGCATATACCAAGCAGCCCTCCCGAGCATGGCGCATATTGATTCCGCGCAATGCAGGAAACAGCCATCAGCCAGCACAGGAGCTACGGCCCACTCGCGCGAACAGCGCGCTCTAGTATGCTTCATATGCACATATGCACATGTGCACATATGCACATTTGCATATTTGCTTCATATGCACATATGCACATATGCACATGTGCACATATGCTTCGTATGCACGTATGCACATGTGTTTCATATGCACAATTGCTTCATATGCAAGCATATGCCACATGCGCTGTGCAATCATGTGTGATCTGCAAGCATATGCGATCTGCAAGCATATGTGATCTGCAAGCATATACGATCTGCAAGCATATGTCATCTGCAAGCATATGCGACTTTTTGCGCACTTTTTTTTCTTTTTTTTTCTTCGTATGCTTCATATGCATTCACATATGCACATATGCACATGTGCACATATGCACATTTGCACATTTGCTTCATATGCACATATGCACATATGCACATGTGCACATATGCTTCGTATGCACATATGCACATGTGTTTCATATGCACAATTGCTTCATATGCAAGCGTATGCCACATGCGCTGTGCAATCATGTGTGATCTGCAAGCATATGCGATCTGCAAGCATATGTGATCTGCAAGCATATACGATCTGCAAGCATATGTCATCTGCAAGCATATGCGACTTTTTGCGCACTTTTTTTTCTTTTTTTTTCTTCGTATGCTTCATATGCTTCATATGCCATATGCACATGTGCACATATGCACATGTGCACATATGCACATTTGCACATTTGCTTCATATGCACATATGCACATATGCACATGTGCACATATGCTTCGTATGCACATATGCACATGTGTTTCATATGCACAATTGCTTCATATGCAAGCGTATGCCACATGCGCTGTGCAATCATATGTGATCTGCAAGCATATGCGATCTGCAAGCATATGCGATCTGCAAGCATATGCGATCTGCAAGCGTATGCGATCTGCAAGCATATGCCATCTGCAAGCATATGCCAGATGCGATCTGCAAGCATATGCCACATTCGATGTGCAAGCATATGCGATCTGCAAGCATATGCGATCTGCAAGCATATGCGATCTGCAAGCATATGCGATCTGCAAGCATATGTGATCTGCAAGCATATGCCATCTGCAAGCATATGCCAGATGCGATCTGCAAGCATATGCCACATCCGATGTGCAAGCATATGCGATCTGCAAGCATATGCCAGATGCGATCTGCAAGCATATGCCACATCCGATGTGCAAGCATATGCGATCTGCAAGCATATGCCACATCCGATGTGCAAGCATATGCGATCTGCAAGCATATGCCAGATGCGATCTGCAAGCATATGCCACATTCGATGTGCAAGCATATGCGATCTGCAAGCATATGCGATCTGCAAGCATATGCGATCTGCAAGCATATGCGATCTGCAAGCATATGCGATCTGCAAGCATATGCCATCTGCAAGCATCTGCCAGATACGATCTGCAAGCATATGCCACATTCGATGTGCAAGCATATGCGATCTGCAAGCATATGCGATCTGCAAGCATATGCGATCTGCAAGCATATGCCATCTGCAAGCATATGCCAGATGCGATCTGCAAGCATATGCCACATCCGATGTGCAAGCATATGCGATCTGCAAGCATATGCCAGATGCGATCTGCAAGCATATGCCACATTCGATGTGCAGACATATGCGATCTGCAAGCATCTGCGATCTGCAAGCATCTGCGATCTGCAAGCATATGCAATCTGCAAGCATATGCCACATTCGATGTGCAAGCATATGCGATATGCAAGCCTATGGGGATCCTCAG